TGGGGCACAATGCACTTGTTAAAAAAAAAAATTTAAATTAAATAAATATAACAATATAATTTTTTTTAATCAAAAAGGCAAATAAGAAAAAAATAGTTGTAAAAAAATATGATAAATAAATACTGTAAAAAAAAATATAGTTACAAATATAAGAATCAAAATATTAATTAATAATATTTTAATTAAATACAATCACAAATGTCATCGATAAAAAGAAATAAGTTTAAAAAAATAGAAAAATACATAATTATACATAAGTGAAAAAAGAAATTTTTTTTGAAAAAGGAAATAAAAATTAGAAAAGGAAAAATATATTGTATATTTGAAGAAGGGATATATGAAAAAAAATAAAAATAAATAAATAAATAAATAAATTAAAAGAATTTGAAAATTTGAGGGTGGCACTATTTAAAATTACCGTGTAAGTATATATATATACCAAAAATATGTACCTATGTATAGTAGGTTGGAGCAAAGTGAGGGGGGAGGGGGGCACGTGCCCCCTCTGGCTCTTAATTGGCTCCGCCCCTATGTGCAATAATTTTTAAAAGCCAAGAAAAGTATTTCTCTCTAGAATTTTAGGGTTAGTGTTCTCATCTGATGGAGACTTCCACAAGCTTAGCTCTCCAAGGTCAGTCATGGAGACTTATGGGTAATTCCTAAAGGCAAGATCATTACTAAGAAGATAGAGATCCAAGGAGGAGGCATCTAACTAAGAGATCTACAATAAGTGATAGCATTCATTTTAGAGGAAAGATATAAGGTTTACTCAAACCTTGATGTAAGTTTTCCATCCTTAAATTGAATGGATCATTGTTTTCTTCATGCATAAAACTTGTCTCTACACATGAATCAAGATCTTTATTTGAAAATCCCTCATAAAGTTTTAAAAACTTCCGTTTCCTCAATAACAATATCATACCATGTGGTGGATTGGGTCATTACACTAAATCTTGAACTAGTTTAGTATAACACTGGTTTGGAATAAGGAAAGAAATGTAACCAAACGCCCTTTCTCTCCTCCACCTTTCTTTACAGACTGAGTTTCTATGATGTCAACTGTAGCTAGACCGACGATAACCAGATGACATGGCTAGGACCTACCAAGCTTTCTCCGACAGCAACCCTTGTGATCGGCGACAATGACCACGGCGATCTTCAACAACGCCTGGGAAAGGATGGGGTAAGGCGGCACTACAAGGTCCTCCATTGGTGATGAGGCCACTGTAATAGTTAGTATAGAACACCAAAGAAAAATAACAAAGGTTTACGGCGAACATAAACCAACGGAAAAGCCTCTGCACATAGACGAAACCAGCCAGAACTCTTTACTCTGAGTTGTCTTCGGAACAGTTGGACTTTGCAGCTTCTTCGTTGACATCATCTTTCAAGCATGTTTGATCTCTGTTCTGAAACTTTTCGGCAAGAAGTACTAAAGCTTGCTAGAACTAAAGCTCACCAGAAGCTCTGGCGAAACCACTATTTTGGTTTCGTCAGAACTGTTTGGTCTCTTCACCTCCGGCGACGGTAGAACTAGACCCACAACCTTCGCCGGCATGTCGAAACTGATGTTCACCTGAACTGGAGCACGCCAAACCTATACATTTGAAGCTCGTTGTTGGGTGCTTCATGGAGCACAATTAGGGATGACAAATTCCCCATCCCCGTCGTGGCCCTACCTCGCCCCATTTATAGCGGGGATGGGGATCCTCTTAGCTAAATGGGGACAACGATAGGGGCAAATTATGAATCCCCGCCGGGGCCGGAGATGGGATAAACCCGCCTCGCCCCGATTAAGTGTGAAGTTACTAATATACCCTTACATATAATAATTTATTACTAAATTAGATTTAGTATCTATATGAAAATAAGAAAAAATGCGTTTTTTTTAATAAAAAAAAACTATGGGGCCGGGGGCGAGGGCGGGTATAGGTATGGGAGCGGGGATAGGGATTGAAAAATTCATCGAGGATGGGGATGGGGAATGGAATCTTCGCCCCGTCCCGTTGCCATCCCTAAGCACAATGATGACGTTTACTGGGTTTGTTGGTTAGTCGCTGCAAGTTGGTCTGAACAGTCTCTTCACCTCCAACGACGGTACAACCACACCCGCAACCTTCGCCAGCATACTGAAACTGATGTTCACCTGAACTGGAGCACGCCGAACCTATACATTAGAAGCTCGATGTTGGGTGCTTGATGGAGCACAATTATGACGCTTACTCGGTCTCTTGGTTCGTCGTTGCAAGTTGGTCTGAACAGAAGAAAGCTCGTCGTCGTCAGAACTAATGGAAGCTGTTGTTCAGAGACTGAGCATCAACTACCCAATAGTAGTGACCAAGCTGTTGTATGGAGCCGAACTAGAGCCAACAATTCTCGTAGCTCACCGAACTATATCTCAACAAAATAGGTTTGCTCGTTTCATGAAACTTCGTCGGAGAGGAGTGCACCGAACAGACCAAACTCGCTGATTTTAATGGGCAGTTGAACTGGGTACACCGTCACCGGAACGGGTCTTGACAACTTGGAGTTCTTGTTCACAATCGGGTCTACAACTCGCCGGAGATGATGGGTCACTGAAGTTCTCCAATCTTCCCCTTCCTCTCTGCAGCGACAGCCACCAAGACAAAGAAGGGCCAATCCACAAATTTGAAGAAGGACCAAACCCTTTTTAATCATTTCACAAAATTTTATTTTTTTATATATATTATAAAATGTTTTGCTAAGGGCATTTTAGTCTAATTTTATCATAAATGTGTAAGTAAGACCTATTTGCACAAATGTCTTAGTTTAAGGGTATTTTTTGCACGTGAGGCCCTAATCTTGTACGGGGCTGACATTTCTGACATCCTAAATTCCGTGGATTTGAAATTGGAAAAAAATTATTACAAACATAATAGATATCGATAAGATAACATCGCGCGAATCTATCTTCGATTTCTTTTTAGCATCGGTGTATTAGACCAACATTTCTGCAACTTGAAGAGCATTGTTGGGTTTGAAATAGATGTTTTTATACCATACCTACTACCTTCCCACTAAAAGCCAACTGGGCACAATTTGGGATTAACCCATTACAGCTCAATGAGACAGCTATAGAAGAGTCTTGTGATTCAATCTACAATTTCGACAAAAATCAAAACAACATTCATAAACCACAGGATGGTGATTCATGGACCTCCATATTTGAGTTGGGACCAAATTATGAGTCAAAATTGTGAGGTGCGACGTGCCGTCCTCACCCTCACGTAAAACTCACACATCAAAGTGTTTTTTTGACTAAAACTTTGGTGCTTCCGTTGGGACTCCCCTGTAAGCATCTCAGTGACTCCATGAAGATAATGCATTCAACACATTTGCATTAGAAGAAACGCCGTGGAAACAAAGGAAGCACAGCAACACATCTTGTCCTTTACCCTAGTAGAGTAGTAGTCTCTTTCCTACTGCTTTCGGAGTTTACAAACAAGTGAAGGAAATGGCAACAAGGACCACTATTTGGTACAACTTTAAAAGCTCGAGGATAGCTGCATTAGAAGACATTTCACGAAAACATGTGGAGACTGCAATTTTCATATCCTTCTGCAAAGTAGACAAGTTCCCGGAAACAGCATGTATGAGTTAATATCTCAAGCATACCATCAAATCAGCATACAAGTTATGTCCACAACCGTAACTACCATATATGAAGATCATAAACAGAAATAACAAGTAAGTTTTGAGCACCGTAAACAACGTATTAACATACAAGTTGTGTCCTCAATCATAACTACGGTGTATTGCCATATATGATCAGAAACAGAAATGACAAGTTTTGAGCACCATAAACAAAGAAGAAAATGTGCAATATGCTAAAGAATTCAGACTCGAGAAAGGGTTAAGGCATATGATGGTACGGACATTGAATGTGCTTTTAACCAAAATACAAACCCATGGAAACAATTCAACCAAAAATGTTCATCACCTTCTCAACCGGGCACACCACCCACTCCGTTGCTTACTGTTCCATTTCTGATCTGCAACATGTAATGCTCTCCAGATGCAAAGCTGTAACAACCAATTTCAATAAGGGTAACAGATCTTTAAGCTAATCTAAAGATTTTCCATGTATAAATCTATATATACAGAGATCCACATACCAAATGATTAACGTTTTAACGAAGACATAAATAAGCCGAATGCTCAACTTAGCGGATAAAACATGCAGAAGAACTTGAAGACAGATTTAGATTTACGGTTAAGAGTAAATGTATTTAGATTCCAAATTATGATTTACATAGCATCTAAAAACAGTGTTACGACATAATGGAGTTAGAGAACAACCATTTTACGAAAAATAATAAGAAATTTTGTTCTCTAACCCTTTGAGCACCCAGCATAGAAGGGACAAGCACTTGTAGTGCTGCTTAAGTGGACAATTAGTGCACAAAGATATTACTCTGTAAAAGCATATCAATATCTTAAATTAGGTCCAAAATCTAACCAAAATGATCGATTGCCAAATATATACAAAAAAAATCTAAACATGAAAACCCTATACAAAAATTATACTAAAACCCACCACCATCTAAAAATGCCTAGAGACTACATTGATCACATACACACATACATGAACCTTATCCTTAATTTATATAAATACAAACCTACATTACATGTGCAATAAATTGTTCTCATCAAAAACCTTATCAAGATGATTCCAGACCTAACACACATCATCATCAACACCACCACACATAGTTCCCATAAAAAAAACCTACAAATTTCCATACCCATGAACCATAGATCTCCATAGATCTTATGTACTGCAAATTATTTCATAAAAGATGGATACACCTAAAAAAATCAGCCATGCCATAAGCAAATGAGATTTAACATCCATGCTAATCTGCCATGATCTATCAAGAACCAGTAAGATCGCAAACTAATTCAACAAAACATGTATAAATGTGGACATATATATGTGTGTGTATACATATATGAAAAATGGCAAAAATGAGACCAAATTGAGAGATAATAGATTTTCTCTGGGTAGCATTGAATGAGATAAATTCTTTACAGGACATGAGGGTGAGAAGTATCAGAGATCAAGAACAGAAGAAAAACCATAACAGATCTGAACTGATACTCCATTGTTACATGTAAATATAACTCCAACAACAACAGACTTCTTAGATTCAAAAGCCCATACAGTTGAAGAAACTAAAAACTCTTAGATCATAGCATGACAAGATCAAATACTCTAACCATAACCATAAGAGAGAGAGAGGGAGAGACGAGAGAGAAAGGTAAATTCTCTTGAAACAAGATAAAAAGACCCGAGCAGACACATAGAAGCAAAGACGATTTGACCTATATATATATTACTTAATTGTTCATCTTCTTCTTTTTTTCTCTGCATGAAAGAGAGCAAAAAAACAGTAAAGGGTGGTTTGATCAGAATGGTTTTGTTTGACCCATCATCACAGGCAAAGGTCTGTGCACCGTAGATCGTCATCGCCACAGCCCAAGTCAGCCTCATCCAGCGGCGGAGGAAGGTTGAGATCGAAAGCCAAGGGTTTCCGAAACGACGACGAGGCGATGTCTCCATCACCGTCGTCGATGACCGAAGACGACGAGTCGCAGTCGCTGCGGCAATCGTCGGGCAAGATTGGCGGCGATCGAGGGTGCCGCCTGGAGGAGGGGGGCTGCGTCACGGCCGTCTGCGACGGCGGAGGCTTGGGCCCACTGAAGGACTCGACGGTGCTGCTCAAACTGCTGGAAGTGGGCCTCTGGGGAGTGATCTGGTGGTCGTGAAAATGGTTGGAATGATACAACCGGTGGGCGATGAGGGCATCGTTAGGGTTTTCTTGGAGAAGAGTGTAAGGAGGGACGGGAGAGGTGGAGAGAGGAAAGTTGGTCTTGGCCTTGGGTCCGCGTAGGGAACGAGCGGCGGCGTCGTAGGCTCGAGCCGCGTCCTCGGCGGAGTCGAAGGTGCCGAGCCAAACCCTAGTTTTCTTCCAGGGGTCTCTGATCTCCGCCGCGAATCTGCCCCACGGTCTCTTTCTGACGCCGCGAAACCTGATCTCCTTCGCGGCGGCTCCCGTTCCAGATCCGTTGGTTTCTCCAGCTGCTGCCGCCGCCGCCTTCGCCGCCGCGGTTGCCCTGGCTCTACGCATGGCCGAAGATGGATAAAGGGAGAGACTTTTAAGTTTTTAGAGAGAGAAAGTTAGAGAGGGGCAGAAATACCGGTCTCTTCTTCTTGTGAAGAAGGAGATAATCTTGTAATCGTAATCTCTTCTCTTTCTCTCTCTATATTTGTTTCTTTCTCTCTCTTCTGTGTGTTGTGTGGAGAGAGAGAGAGAGATAGAGAGGGGAGATGGTTTCACTTTCTTTTCTTTTTTTTTTCAATTTTCTTTGGTTTCTCGGTTTCCTTACCTCCTTTTGTCGCCCCCACAAAGCCCGACTCTGGATTACTTCTTCTCTCTTTCCTTTATTTATTTATTTGTTTGTTTTTTTCGATTGAAATGAAATGACAGTTGTGCCCTTCTCTTTCCTCCCATGAGTGGGTTGGGTTGTAATTTTTTGTTCCTAAGTACTTTCTAGTATTCACCCTCCCTCTTGAAGTACCTCATATGTAAAATCTGTGTACTTTGTGGTTCTCTTTTTAGGTTTTTACAGACATTGTATGATGTTGAAGAAGTTTGATTGTTAAAACTTATAAAGTAAAAATGCAGTGATGAATTAGAAAAAAATATATATGTAGTTGAGTACAAATGACAATTTTTTTTTTTTTTTTTTAACAAACAAATGATAAATCCAAATTAGAGTTAAAACAAAGTACAATGCAATACTGTGGTTCAAACATCTACATGTGAGATGTAAACTAAATCTCTCCCCAATCTCACTTGGATATTATTTGAGTTGCAAATGAATCAAAATATTAATGGAGAGAGTACAGGAGACAAGTATTTCAAAGTTATTCATTCAAAACAAATTGTGAATTTTCAAGTATAATTAAACAAGTCAGATTCAAGTAGTGTTTAGCTCAACATGTATATTTTTTATATGCATGTAATTTATACATGTAACTTATAACTCACGTCTAAAAAATTTAATGGATTTATCGCTCAAATGATACGAAATTATTTTATTTTATTATGGTAAATATAATAGCATTAAAAGAGCTAGCTCAACTCAGATTCTGAATTTTCAGTTGTAAGACTTGTTTAACGGACGAGCCAGATTCAAGTAGTGTTCAGTTCAATAAATATATGTTTATGCATATAATTTATTCATATAACTTATAACTCACGTCTAAATAACTTAACGGACATTCGGACTATACAAAATTATTTTATTTTATTATGGTAAATATTATGGCATTAAAAGAGCTAGCTCAACCTTGAACGCCAACTTATACTCACTCAACATCCATTTGAGCACAGCTGTTAAATGGTAAGTCTAAGTTTGAATTCCATTTCAGAGCATGTATGATTCAATTCGATTCTTCCAGCCCTAACTAGAAAAGAATGAGAGCGGGAAAAAGAAACAATTTGATAAACAGTTACTAACAACGGTTACAAATTGTTACGTGATAGGCTTTTAGAAAGAAGTTTAAAATTCCTCAACTAGAAATGAATACTAAAATTGAAAGAAGCTTGAACCGGATTGTACTAATTAACACTAAATATAAATATTAAAAACATAATTATCTTCACAAATAAGAAACCTTATTTTGTTAATAATTATTTAAAACCAGCTCTAGTCTCACTTTTACCTTAACAAAATATGGTCTTCCCTTTGTAAGAACAATTAAGAAACTTTATAGATATCCTAAAATTAAACACTCCCATAAACATAGATCCTTCATATTTTTTGTCCATTAAAACACTTCCAAGCAGTGTTCGGCTCAATATGTATATGTCCCCGCATATAATCTATTCATGTAACTTGTAACTCACGTTTAAATAAGTTGAGTATGTCCTCGTTTGGTGAGAAATTATTTTATTTTATAATTGTAATATTCTATATGACAAGGTCTCAAAGAGAGAAGGTCAAAGAATCTTGAATGAAATGGAATTGTGTCCGGACTTAGCACTAAAGATGAATAGTAAAATAAAAAGAATCTTAAATAGATTTTGGAAGAAGTTTGGTTATTAAAAAGTAAAAACATGTAGTAAATTTCCAACAAAAAAGGGAAGAAAAAGAAAACTTGTAGTTGACTACACATAATAAATCCAAATTTGAGTTAAAACTAAAATAATGCAATATTGTGGTACAAAGAACTAAATGGTGATATAAATTTGAATTGCAAATGGAACAAAATGATTACGAAGATATTAGCATTGGAGACACGTGACTAACTAGACTAACTAGTTCAAATTTGTTCATTCAAATAATTTGTCTGAATTTTCAATTCTAAAATTTGTTTAACAAATGAGTCAGTTAGTGTTCAGCTAAATAGGTATATGTCCTTAAATGAATTGTCATTCAAACCACGCAATTATTTTGTTTTATTAATGTAAATATTATGGCATTAAAAGAGTTAGCTCAATCTTGGACGGGAACTTAATGTCACGCCCTGGAACCATGTTAAGGGGGGCTTGAACGTGTCTAAGATCACACGTTAGTTTGGAAATGTCTAAGTCCATGACATTAAGCTCAACATCCATCTGAGCTCAGGTAGCTTTCTTAAATACCTCGGCAAAGGTAATCATTCTAGTTGAACTTGAGTTCCATTTCAGAGAGTATGCACAATTCAACTTGACTCTTTCAACCCTAATTAGAAGAGGAATGAGATAGGGTTGGACAATAGAAAGAAATTTAAAAAACTAAACAAAAAAAATAACAGAAAAACAATTATAAATAATGGTTGCAAGTTCGCATAGAGTGAAGTTCAATGAATCTTGGACAGGATTGTTCGCCACTAAAAATAATTCTAAAATACAAAGAATTATATAAATTCTAAAAACATGTTTAATTATCTTTACAAACAAGAAACCTTTTATCTTCAAATAATAATTTAAAACCACAATCTCTCTTTTACTTCAACAATATATGCCCTTCAATTCCTTTGAAAAATAACGAAGTTATATATATATACAAAATAATCAGAACAAATTTCGTACGTTTTCTATGCACGGAATCGGTGTCGCTTTCATGCACAAATTCACCTCTGGAGATTTGGATTCATATCCAAAAAAAAAAAAAACTACTTTTGCGTTACAAAAATGAAAATAGAAATTTCTTGAAAGAATCTTATTTGAGCTCAAGTAGTTTTCTTAAATAACTTGAGCAAAGTTGAGCCATGCAAGCTGAGCTCAAGTTCCATTTCAGAGCCTGCAGGACTTGATCAAATTGACTCTTCCAACTTTAAATAGAAATTAAGGGACGAGGGTGTTAACATGAAATAAATTGAAAAATAACTATAAACAACAATTACAATGTGTTGCGTGACAAGCACTCCCATAGAGAAACTCAAATAATCTTGAAAAGAATTGTATATGTTCGCACTAAAAATAAATTCTAAAATAGAAAGAATCTTGAACGGAATTGTGCAAGCACTAAATATTAGCACTAAAAACATGTTTCTCCTCACAAATAAGAAACCATTTAATTCTTAAATAATTATTTAAATCCAACTCGGGTCTCTCTTTTACTTTAAGTGGATTCAGGATGCACATGTTATTTTTGAAATATCAAAAGTAATTTTAAAATTTTGACTTTTCAAAAAGAGTCGACTTGAGGATATTTTAAAAAGAAAAGAGCGATACTTGCTTTGGAACAAAGATTAAAAAGTGGAATAGCTTAGAGTGCTCAAAATTTTGGTCAAAGATATGGATTACCGATAAAATGTTGCACCTACCTCTTGTTTTAATCACTTTCTCTCAAGACTTGTATAATCAAGATATATATGACCAATAGTTATTCTAATTCGTTGACACACACACACACACAATATATACTTTTTAGGAAAAATTACATATAAATGGAGTCAAAGTTTCATATTTACTTAGAGGCTGAGTCAAAGTTCTATATTTCTCTAAAATGGATTGCTGAGGTGGCACATGGTTTTTTACTGTTTAGAAAATTGTGTTGCCTAAAATGCCCTTCCCTAACAAAAAAGTAGTACCTTCAGTGCAAAAAAGTAGTACCTTCAGTTCAAAAAAGTAGTACCTTCGGAGAAAAAGTAGTACCTTCGCGGGTGTTTAAAAAACATGGTACCTGGACGCCAAAAAGTAGTACCTTCAGTTCAAAAAAGTAGCACCTTCGAAGAAAAAGTAGTACCTTCGCGGAAGGGTATTTTAGGCACTACAATTTCTAAACAGTAAAAAACCATGTGCCACCTCAGCAATCCATTTTAGAGAAATATGGAATTTTGACTCAGCCTCTAAGTAAATATGAAACTTTGACTCCATTTATATGTAATTTTCCCTAATTTTTATTACTCTTAAGCTCTCCAATGGGATTGTGTTCTAAGTCATCACTATTATATATAGTGGATATAGACCTCATGATTGACACAAAGAATGGAACCAAAACCATAAGCAGTGACTACTAAGCCTTTTTCTCTCATTTGAAACTCAAATGATGGATCAACCACCGTTTCATTTGCCCTGGAACTTCAAATCATATATATTTTACAACTATATTTCAAAAGTTAAAAATAATAATAAATAACTATTTTTAATTTATATTTTGTTCAGTAGAAAAGATGGAAGAGAGGTGAAAGGAAGATACAAAAAAACAAATTTTCTTCGTTCGGTAGAGATGAAATAAGCACAGAAAGAATAATAGGATGATTATTGATAAATTTCCATCTCTCCAAATATGGACACATGAGAGGAGGGAAGGCAGATTGAGTTACTATAAAAGTTTTAAATTACAATACTATCATTCATAAATATTAAATTCTAAATATGGATATAATGGTAAAAATAATTTAAAACTCTCTATTCCATTCTCTCTTAACGAAAAAAGTAAATTATCAGTTTTTTCTCTATCTCTTTCTAAAGAAAAAGAATGAATGACATAATATTTCGTATTCTCCTCCGTCCTTCTTTTCATCCAATTCTTTTCATTCTTATCAAACAAAGCGATATATATAGAGAGAGAGTATATTGTATATTTAAAATTAAATAGATTATGACAGTAATATTTTTTTCTTTGAAAAAAAAAAAAAAAACCATGGTAGGAGAGAAACAAACCGTTTCACTATATATGTGATTTTTTTAATATTAATTTTTCTCGTGTACCATATATATTATTCAATTATAAATTATAAATGTTCTACAAAATAGTCATCTTTTTCCTTCTAGAATCATCTATAGTGGAATTCCTAGCTGTGACCAATTGATAATTGAAGTATGAACACTATATAACTTGTTCACACCCACACACAAAACTAGGGGTGTCCTGCCCACTTTCCTTAAGTATAAATATTATGCACATATCCACAAGTAAAAGAAAATTTTGTT